ACAGTAAAAGTAAGCGACTTACAGTTGGCCATCGGTCAGAGTGAAAAACTCATTTGAAACTGTCGCAAAGATCGACATCGAGTTACAAATGTGACAATAGCAAGTGTCCCCCCCTAGCCGTGTTATACCATTTCGTTGTAACGCATTTGTACATATATGTACGTGAACGGAGGGAGGGGGTGTCATCATTTTCACTGTCACCTATGAGGATAACGAAATGAAGTTCAGAGACATATTGGACGCAATGACAATTCTCGATTAGCTTAAATCCATGATGCTACTGACCCCCCGCCCCAACCATACAACAGAAGAAGAAGTTCAGATCCATTCCCTTTTGAAAGCCTTCCATTATTATGTCACTCAAAAACTTATCGATTATGGATCCATAATTGGTCAGATGAGCCCTTTCTTTACACATGCTTAGGTTCCGGAACATGAGACAGCGAAGCCGTTGTGCGTACGATCATCCTGAAGATCTAATTCATAAACTGCTGAGGTAAACAACAATAGTTTTCATAATCCAAAGGTAAGACAACGATGGTGCGATGCTGTTACCGACATCAGTAGTGCGATACATACATTGTTAAGTTTTACCTTATCATTCTTGATTAATACTTAAGTATATTGGTCATGTGCCATTGAAATTCTGAGATGGCATATTCAGTTATACGGATGCACAGCATGCTGCATAAATTCGCATGTGTCTTTCGTTTCTGCCCCCTCCTCTTCTGTTGCCTCCAACATGGTCTTACCCGATTAACTGTCCTGAGGTTGATATATTGATTATCAGGAAAGTATTCTGAGGGTTGAAGGTTTTCATCGAGAATGTCACAAACGACTCCTATCCATTATTTGTTCAAGTTCCAATTTTTGCCTACTCTTCTTGGACGATTTATCTTGATAGGGATGCACTAAATTTTCATGTCACCATAGATAGTGTATCATCTATGGATTTTTGAAAGTCTCTTGGACTTCTGCCGCAACACAGCTCTCTTTAAATTTCCTGAGAAACAAAGCCTCATTTTGAACGTATTTCGTTTGTGTGCATATTTTGAGTTTCTGCATAAGAGAGGAGGACGATCGATACTATTTTACCTTCCATATCCAGTAGTACTGTTTGACCGACTACCTCATTCTTGTTTCTCACTGACAACAGCCAAGACTTACAGTTCATGGCTTGATGGCATATTCTGTCGTTCCTTTCCCTTCAGAGACTCGTTTGGATCACACATTTCTGAATATACGAGCGAATGGTACTGTAATGGTAAGTAAATCATTCATTGACTAAATTTCTGACCATCTCTTTTTCATGGTTAAACTTCATGTTGATCAAGTATGATCATTCTATGTTCAGCTATCAGGAAGGTCAAGGAGAAGCGCAGCGACGAGGAGGGTGCGACAACACATTCTTTCATTCTGGCATGACTACATGAGAAGTCCATGCCCAGCAAATTGTTACCCCCTACTCGGCTTGTTGCAGCGAAGTAACGTGAGGTAAATTCTTTGCTCAAGGGAATTCATGATTAACTCTGATTTTCCTCTCCAGATTCGAACTCAGCATACCTAGAGTTCGAACTCACCTTTTTATGCCACTTTGCCTCCGCACTCATCAGAGTTACCTTAATCAGCAATTCAAACAATTAACCGTCGCAATGGTGGGGGGGGTAGTTGGACACTGTTTGTCGTTTGCTTCCAGCATCAGATGGGATGGTCAACATTCAGTCTGTGGCTCAACTGCTGCTATCCCAAAGCAAGGAGCGCATCTCAGAGTTTACTGTTTCAGCGAAATGAGAAATGGATAGCTACAGTCGATCTAGGCGATATTCTGCTGCGGTATGGTCATACCAGAGTGTGAGACAAACAGCCACACTGGCTGATATATTTTACTGCTGTAAAACATATTCTGAATTTATAATATATGCAATATAATAGTAGCAGAAACTATTATGAGACGATATGGCAATAAGTTTTAACCACTATGAGATATATACAACTTTAATAATATTTATTATGCCATATTTTTTGCTGCAGTGCATAACAGCGATATATCGTATCACTCAAATATGACATACTGTGCACTGTAATAGTAGAATTTGCATCCCGTAGTAGAGCACATATTATAATCAGTCAGTTATTCAATAACGTTTCTGATCCTGTACCAGCGTCTAGAGTTTTAACACGAATCTAGAGACGAACTAGTGTAGGCACTAATCCATCATTGTTGGTCGACCTCGTCGTGCTTGGTCCGTCGGTCGAGCAAATAATAAGTGTTTCGCCGTCGTTTATGGCAGCGTTCACAGCGCATGCGAATCTGTCGCAGTCATGACTTCCCAATCCGCATAAGAGACCGTTGTAGACGAAGGCCTCCTCATATATTGGAACTTCTGACTATGTCAAACGTTGTGTAGATACCTCACATACATCGATTCACGTGAACTGAGTTAGAGTCTTAAGAAAGTCAATACAATTTACCTGTAATAGTTTATTCGGCTATGAAATATTAAACTACAAGTGTATCATTCAAGCCACTACACGCACGATGTTAAGGTGTATGACTAAACTAAAGAGAAAAATGGGAAATTTTCCTAAGAGTACAAACGGTGTCTGCAACGTGGGATCGATGTCATCATAGGACTGGGCAAGGCTACGAGGCGACGATCTGGATGGGTTGCAAGATGAACGGATCAAAGACACATTACAGAGCTTCTGACGGATGTAAACGGTCCTTTAGAAGATTCAGACAGTGGTGACAAGACAAGCTCGAGAAACCCTTCGGAACCTTTGTGGATAAGAATTGCTGAAGTCAGCATTTTGTTGCGACGTCTGCGGCTGGCCTTCATTCAGAAGTAAATCGGAAAAGAGTCACAATGATGAGGAATTAGAGCGTCTTACGCATTGTTTGAAAAAGTGCAACTGCAGCTGCCTCTCGGGACTCCATTGTAAATTCAGCTTTGTTCACCACCTGTGCTGTTTACCGCTTGGCGGACTCGCTGAATGAGTTCATTACCGTTTATCCACTGACTCGAGTGAGTCATTAAGTAGCG